ACCACCACCACCACCACCACCACCACCACCACCACCACCACCACCACCAGTGGAGTATCCAGTGGAGACCTGGCCCTGGGATTATGAGATCCAGAGAACTAGCCCTGCCCCCTGACTGGAGATCAGAAAGTGGGCCCTGCACCTCACCAGTCCAAACTGTGTGAGAGCAGAAGAGCTGATCCAGGCTGCAGGCTGCAGTACTTGGAAGAATAGGCCTCTTACCTTGACTGGGAAGCACCCTGGAGGCATGGGTACAGGTGAGCTCACCCTATCTTCTGCAGATGTCTGCATTGGGTGGCCTAGCCAGAGCATCACTGGAGAGCTCTAGTGGTGTAGATAACGGAGAGCCAGTGGGCTGAGTAGTTCAGCTACCACCCAGGCCCAGCTCCGAGGCTCTGAATTGGCCCACCCCAAAGTTTATATCATCCGTGAACAGTTGAGATTCATAAAAGGGCCAGTCAAACTGTTCCAAAGCTGCAGGATCTCCATGACACAGAGCAACACAGGATCACAGAGAGGAGACCCGATCAGGATTCAGTATTTATGGTGTTGCAGAAGCCCGAGATCTCGAACCAAACCAATGACTCACTGCAATGGACATTTACAAGTGAAGAAGTATGGACAGAGGATTTACTGTGGGACGTACTGTGACACACTACAGCTTCCACAATGAGATGTTTTCTATGCTTTGTTGTTGTTATTGCTGTGTGTGTGTGTGTGTGTGTGTGTGTGTGTGTGTGTGGTGTGGTGTGTTATTTGAGGCGGGTGTTGCAAGAGTGAAGAGCAGATATGAGAGGACAGGGAGAATAGTGGGATTGGGATACATGATGTAAAACCCACAAAGAAGCAATAAGAAGTTTTTTAAAAAAGGAAGGCCACTTTATAAAGAAATAGCTTATGAATCTGCTACATTCTGACTAAGTAAGAATTAATATTTCATATGAAAAAGACATATAAAAAGGTTGAAAAATCTCATTCTTGATTCTTGAAATATGAGCTATCAGTCTTGAGGTGGGCAAGCCTAGGAGATAATTTAGTGCCTTTAAGACCCTCACTTGGTTTGGTGTTATGCAAACACACATACACACACACACCCCTTGTAATTTGCACTTGACAGCTTAGGTGGTATTTTTTAACCTTTATATATTATGCATACACATTCCTCGAAAAACAGTGCAAGCAGAGTCTGCTTTCAACCCCTCAACCCTCTAGCTACATTGGGCCACACTCGCTCCCAACTCTGTGTCCATGCTCTTAGTAATGATCAAATTTAGACACTGCCTAGGGGGTACATTCTCAATATCGCTGGGAATGAAGATTAGAAGATCCATTCTGACCTCAAGTGGTTTTGGGAACAGCAATGCAAACTGTGTCTTCAAGCAACATTTAAGGGAGTATCCTATTTACCATCTTATGCCTATGCAAAGTGGGCATATATATGTTTAAAGTCAGATGTATTGTGAAAAAGTACATCTATCAATCAAAGTAGACAACCTTAAATCACTTTGCAACCAGCCTTTCCTCTTGAACCTAATAAGTGGACCCCTGAAAAAATATACAAATGCCTTGAGTATCTTCACTCATCTTTCCCACTGTCTTTGTTTTTGTTCGCTTGTTTTGTTTTTGTTTTTCGAGATGGGGTTTCTCTGTATAGCTCTGGCTGTCCTGGAACTCACTCTGTGGACCAGGCTGGCCTTGAATTCAGAAATCCACCTCCCTCTGCCTCCTAAGTGCTGGGATTAAAGACGTGTGCCACCACTGCCTGGCTCCACTGTCAATCTTAATGTATTTTTCTTTAATCTGTACGATCTCTTAGCCAAATAAAACTTATTTACTTATCCAAATAAAAGTATTTTGCTTCTTTTGCAAATCTATGTGGGGGGGGGTCTATGTAAAAGCAGATACACTAAGTCTATAGAGAAGAAAGTGAGGGTGTAACCTTGAACTCAGTACAGGAGACAACTTCCGAAACAGAAAACCCTTAGCTCAGGCACTAAGTTCAACAACTAATAAATGGAGCCTCATGTAGTTGAAAAGCTTTTGTGACACAAAGGACACTGTCAATAGGACCAAATGGCAGCTTACAGATTGGGAAAATATCTTCACCAACCGACATCTGGCAGAGGGCTAATATCTAAAATATATAAAGAACTCAAGAAGTTGGACACTAACAACTGAAATAATCCAACTTAAAAATGAGGTACATAGTTAAATAGAGAATTCTCAACAGAGAAATCTCTAATGGCTGAGAAACACTTTAAAAATGTTCAATGTTCTTAGTCATCGGGGAAATCCAAAGCAAAATGACTCTTGAGATTCCACCTTACTATGTGAATGGATGTTTTGTCTGCATGCATGTCTTTGAACCATCTGCATACAGTGCTCACAGAGATCAGAAGAGGGCAACAGATCCCCTGGACTAGAGTTACAGATGGTTCTGAGCCATATAGATGTGGGGGGGGTGGGGGGGGGGAGAGGGTAGTAATTTAACCACTGAGCTGCCTCTCCAGCTCAAGAATGTGTCATAATCTATACTAAAGTCTAGAAAAGTAGAGACCTTGTAATTAGTGTGTTCAGCCAGATTGCAAATGAACACTGTGCTTATTTAGTAGGGCAGGGTAGGGATGGTGGGGAATGA